AGTTGCTCATACTCTAAATCTACTCGGTCTTGAGTCTTCCTTTCTTCCTGAGTCACTTGTGATCTTCCTGAAATGTTAGTGCTCAAGGAAAATAACAAAATAAAATAATAATCAATTGAAAAGTGGTTCCAAAAACACTCATTATTTGGCATCATCAAAATCTCAAACTCGGGGTCATGGGTTGCAACAACCCTTTGAATCGCTCACAACTCCCCCTCACTTGATATCTCAGACTTCACTCTCATAATCTATCCAAATTACTCACATGCAATGGCCACTCTTAAGAGAAAATTGCATCAAAGGTACCTATTATATGTTTTTAGGACTTCTTATATATGAAACATAATTATTTTTTTGATAGAAAAGCCGGAGCTTAATATATTAAAAAGCAGTAAAAAGAGATCCTACAAAGATGATTCCTCCTTCAAAGTATTAAAGAATGAAGGAGGAACGTTATTAAGAGATAAATCATCCCAAATAAAGCTATCAAATAAAGCATAGTTAGCACATAAGTTTGCTAACTTATTATTCCCATGGCCTATACAATTAAAAATAACAAAATTGAAAATCATAAGAAAATTCATACCAACATCCTTATGACTTTCTTTCTTCCAAGAGCTTTGAAGAAAATATATGATATTTGAGTTGTCCCCCTCTATAATTATGCGTTTATACTTGAACATCCAGTCCTTGATTTCATCTATTAAGGAATGTATTGCTAGCAATTCCAGTTGAGCTATATCCCAATGAATGCAAGATCTTCCATAAGCATAAAGAAATCTCCCTTTATAGTCTTTGAAAACTACTGCAATCCCTGCTTTATATGAGGAAAGTAGGGACGCATCTACATTCACTTTAATCCATTTGGGTGGAGGAGGATGCCAATTATTGGACAGTCTTAACGATTGGTTAGCATCCCAAATGCCCAAATTTAATTCACTAGAACAAAAAGAGATCAAAGCTTGGAAAATAGCATTAGAAGCTATATAACTTAAAATTTCTTCCATGCCTTCATGTATATATTTGTTTCTACTTTTCCAATTCAAGAAAACTGAATTACAATAAAGGTTGACAACCATACCTTTCTTTTTAGAACTAGTCTCCAGCCAATTAATACATTGCTCAAAGTTATCTATATGTGGGATGCAAAATCCCCAAAGATTTAGATGATGGATAACTTCTTTAAGCTTCAAGCATCCACATATTATGTGTTCCACGTCTTCATTTGAGTTGCATCCCCTCGGACAGACAGCATTGTTTATTAATCTTCTATATAATAAGAATTGAAAAGATGGAATTGCATTTCTACATAGTCTCCACCAGAACACCTTCACACGAGAATTCAGTTTTACGCTATTGATCCAGTCCTAGTATTGGACATCTTGAGATACTACTACCGAATCCTTGCATGCTAGTCCAGCTATAGACAAACTAGATTTTCGGTGGACTAACTCCATACGGTCTTCTTCTCCTTCTCTTGTGATAATAATTTGAGTAATCAAATTAATAAGTTCCTTTCCAAAGGATTCCAGCAGCAATGCAATGCTTCATTCCAACTGCCATCCTGAATGATCTTATTAACCAAAACAAGATTTCCATCATGTGGAATAACAAATATAGACCACTTGGCTAAGCTTTTATCAAGGATCCAAATATCCTTAGATACATCCACTGAATAACCATTTACTAAAGACCATTTCACAATAGGCTTTAGCATTTTAAGTCCCTCAGCTAATAGTTTACAAGAAGAAGAGCTGCTCATTCTACCGCCAGCCTTATCTAGTTTATCTCCATATTTAAAAGCCATCATTTTGTTTAACAGTGAATCTTTTTCCAGGATGAATCTCCATGCTAACCATGCTCTCAAAGCCGATGCCTTCAAACTATTGGAATGCAGGCCTCGTCCACCACATTCAATTGGTTTGCACATTTTTGACCAATTTACATAATGCATCCCTCTGTTGCCATTATTATTACTCCAGATAAAATTTCTGCCAGCTTTATCAAGATCTTCTAATACACGTTTAGGGACTAGAGAGTGAGAAGCATGGAATGTGGGCAAAGTTAGCAAAATAGTTTTTACAAGAGTCAATTTACCTGCCAAATACAATAATTTACTAGCCCATTGGTTCAACTTCTTCAATGCATTTTCAATGATAAATTGATAATCTTCATATTTTAATCTTCTCAAAGCTATCTTCAATCCAAGATAATTGAGTTCTTTAATAGTTTTAAAACCCATGATTCTTTTGATGCCGTTTTTCTTCTTCCTTCCAACATGTTTACCGAACAACATTACTGATTTGTTCAAATTAATACGCTGTCTAGTCCATTCACAAAAACTGAAAAGGATTTCCTTTACTTTTTTAT